CAGATTTGTTACCGCGTAGTTCTCAAATATTTTGAATCCCATGATCGGCATCGACCCAGTTGCATAATTCCTTACTCACGGACTAATCGCACCATTCTCCATCACAGTTAAATAAAAATTTAAACTTTCGTATCCTAATTTTCATTGCTGGAGTACTCGATGTCAAATCTTATCTTATGAGAGTGAGAACGGAAGGAGGGAAAAATGCAGATGCACAAAATCCAATATTTATCTTGGGCCTGTTACAAATGTGCTAACAGGCCAAAAGTGCTCTAAGCGTTTATATCAAACGGATCATAGATCTGCCATTTGATGGCACGAAGCGCGCAAAATCTCTGCTTTTATTATCTTTTCTAGCAAAAGCGTGTTGATTTGATAAGGAAAATATTTCGTGGCGTTTTTTCAAAAATCTCTGTATTTTCGATAAAATTCATTGAATCAAACATTTTGCATTTCGATCGACGATCTGTAATAATATCTTAATAATATCATACAGATTTTTCTGCAAGGAGCGAAACAAATAAAAGTCGAACGGAACAAGGCGCAGGCTGGACGCTTGAAAACTACCAGGTCAAAGAAGCATTCACTTCTTGGCCATTACAGCTACGAGTAGGGTTGTATTGTCCTAATTGGATATTGTATCTTTGGCATTGTTGTTGCCAATAGAGAGCGGAATCGATATTTGAAGCAGCTTTTGCATAGAATCACCCATTAGCAGGCGTCAATTCGCGCTTTGCTGCCGTTAGCTCACCTCTTCATCGCTACTTATCAACTTCGTAAGAAAATGCTTGATTTCATTTCGTTTCATCAACGATTTAGAAATAGAAATTCTGATTCATTGTTCATATATGCGCTCCCTACATAGCGAGATTCTTTCTATAGATTGACTTTTGTTCACATCGTTCTTCATATTTCTTTCTTTTATTTTTCAAATATTTACTTGCGAAGAAAAAATAAGTCAATCTGTTTCGATACTGTAAAGAATGGCATAAATTTCATCAACGTTTCATTGACTAGGAAGCAGGATGACTAAAATCGAAATTTGCAACATAAAAGTGAAGAAAGTGCTTGCATGCATATTGCCAATCTTGACAAAACGAAAGTACATACACACACGCACACAACAAGCATATATATTATCCTTATTGACTTTTTAATTGAATATTTATGAAAAACAAATACGCGTCACTTTTTGATAAAATTATAAATTAAAATTTAAAAAATTAAATTAATTAAATAAATCAATTAATAAAAAAAGTCATTTACGGGCTCAACCGGGATTTGAACCCGGGACCTCTCGCACCCAAAGCGAGAATCATACCCCTAGACCATTGAGCCGCATGCAATCTTTTGTTACAGCATTCACTTACTTCCGCAATTTATGTACAGAGTATTATATGATGCATTTTTTTTTTTTTTTTAATTTTGATACAATGTAATAAAATGAATTGTAAGCAAAGCGCATATAGCTACATAATGATTTTTATTAATACATCAAATGCATGCTGCATTTTTTCTCTACGTTGTTTAAAAGACTGAAATTAGACGACAAATGTAAGATAACTTTAGGCGTTACTGATATTATTTAAGAATTTGTTTGGAAAAAAATACGCGTAAGCCATTTTGTTTTTATATCCGAACAAGGTGCTTATAAGATCTTTTGCTTAAGTGCCATTTCAAAGTTCTTCATCCATTTTCGCGGTTTTAAAGCCATGATAATATTTTTTCTTAGCAATAGCCCTACACACGGAAGATATACTACATTAGTCTCCGTTTGTTATTCGAGATGGCACACTGCATATATGCACTTCTTAATTTTAAATATGTTTACTTCATAGAGTATTCAATTACTTTTCAGTTTAATTGCTTTCATCTCTTCATCCAATTGGAAAATGAAAACCAAGTGCTGGCACCGTTTCCAGATCATAAGCTAAAGCCAAACACATTTCAATACATGCCCAAAAACTAAAGTAGCGAAGATTACGAAATCAGTAATATTAGCATCAATTGTAAACTTTACCTCAACGCTTGTTAAAGCTGGATAAGGGCTACTTCCGAAAGCATTTCCTGCCGACCAAGTATCTTGTTTTTTCTTTCCCTTGAATTTATGAGCTTTAACGTTTTAAATGAAGAACTATTTAGTTAATGCTTGTTGAGTTCCAGTACCAGAGGACTACGGTGACAATTGAAAAGCGCTTGGTTCGAATGATTTAATCTTGTCCCTCTGTTCCTTTGTTTGTTTATTGAAATTAAAAAAATGTTCAAACTCAAAGTCCAATATTTGACTTTAATAAATATTGCTTTCTTTCTTATTTGTAAATATATATATATATATATATAAATATATATATATATATACAGGAAGATGACAAATTGTTTTATTTATTTTAATTATCGCAATTAATTAGAAAACTAATATGTACAGTTTTGATAGCATAACGTAAGTCAAAGATAAAGATATTCTATAATCGAAATATTTAATGTTAAAAAATAACTTACTTTTGATATTTGATTATAACGTAACTGTTTTTCAATTTTGAACATAAGTGTTTTCACTTTGAATATCAAAGCAAATTGCTTTCAATTTAGATTTACAAATGCATGCACACTAATTACGCTAAAAGCTGATAAATAACTCAAATATTATTTATTTATTAAATTTTTTTATTTTTGATGCCGATAAATAACTCAAATATTATTTTTATTTTTTTTTTTTTTTTTTTTTTTTTTTTTTAAATTATAAAATTTAAAAAATGAAAATATATTTTAAAATTGAAAATTAACTAAATTTTAACTTTTAAAATATGGAACTATAGAAATATTTATTCAATTATGTCAAAATACAAATTGGATACATCTTTCGCTTAATGTTTTAAATAATGTATAGCAGATGAATATTCAATACAATTTCAAAACAATATAAGAATTAAAAACTTCGAGGGACATTTTTTTACAATGTAAAGATCATGAGCATTATTTTCTTTTTCCTTCTTAAAAACTATGCACTAATTTTATTGCTTTTACTCGTAATGTATTTTCCCAATATTAAAATAACTTATTACTAAGTACGGTTAAGAGCAATATTTCGTCAAGCTTCGCATTCGATATAATTTATTCAAGATAAATAGCTATCTTTGAAGAAGCATCTTTAAAACCAGAAAGAATTCTCCACCCTATCCGCTTCCCTTTTTCTGGTCATATTAAAAAAAAGGACAAGGACGAGCCACGGTTCACCATTTCGTTTAATGCAGTTGTTCATATAATGCATTGTGGACGGACAGACAAGTTGACATCGTTGCAGAACGTAGCTCACGTGATAAAAAGTGGATTCATCCAAAGTTCGTCTGCGTTTTGTTCGCGTTCGAAGGAACTTCATGTACTCTTGTACCGCAAGTGGCCAAGAGTAGGATATAAAAAGAACTATTTTTGGTATCTTAGTGATGATGGTGAACTATACTTTACGATCATCATAAGAATTTTTTTTAGTTTATTAGAATTCTTAGCATTCGCAGAAAAAATTATAATTTTCTTCTCTATAGTTTTATAGATATTTACTATCCAAAGTATCTTTTTATTCCATTAAGTGCGTATATGTGTCAGCACAGTTACATACTGCGCAAGTTTGTAATGCTTCACGGCATCGTTTCATCTTATTTTCTTTTTTTTCCTATCAAATCTACGAGTGAAAAAAACAGGTGGCTTCACATAATGTTAATAAGCGTAAGATTCTTACTTGACTTCACTGTTTAAGCTTTTCTTTGCTGACAGCTTACTCATGACGACAAACGGAACAGATACATAGATCAAAAAGAACACGGGGTCTTCGAAAGCGTATAAAGCAGACAATACGGAAGACGGGCATAAATAATTTGATCACACCCCAAAAATAGTTTAAGATGCTTAAGCATAAATTCATAATAGCCTTAGAATACTGAAGGAGTTCATTAAGGGATCTGTTTCAATTGTTTACTTTGCTTACGCAAACCAATTTCCAGAATAGGACTGATCAGCTTATAATAACCAAACAAACAATAGAATCTCTGAGAAAACGAATTGCTTCAGTTTGTAGCAATACTAAGCTAAAGCACATATCAGTGCGAAACTTTCTCGTATACACTAAGTGAACCGAGAAAAATAAAGAAAAAAAAAACCAAAATGAATATAAGAAAATTGCGATAATTATATCGAGGAAACTAAAAAGTATTGATCCTTATAGTACGGACAGTTATCAATCCGAGCCATACGTTAAATGAATATATGTGTATTTTAATATATTAAGGGCTTAATATATACTACATCAGAGATTCGTCTTAAGACAATAATAACTTATATAACTTATATAAAAGGGCTCAATATTTTCTATATTAGAGACTCGTCTCAAGACGAAAATAGTTTATATATATACTTGGGAATGCAAAGTTGGTTATATTTACAAAACATTATAATAGGGTCCGAAATTCGACTTAAAAATATGAATTGTGATTTTCTAAAGATTATTAATTAAAGAAAATCATAAATCTATTCGCAATTAAATATACTTGAAATAACTTAAGATCTTTATTAAATATTTAAATTTTGAGATACGTGCAGCGAAACGAATAGCGTCACGAGTAACACTTTAATAAGCAGCTAATTTTAGCCATCGTACACACGCACGTTTATCTATCTGCAAGGTGCGGTTTTCACTTGACCTTGACGTTAAAAGCGGTTTTATTAACAGTTTCTCGATATTCAAAAAAAAAAAAAACTGTTAGTAAATGTTTTTTTTTTGTTTTCACAAGTATATCATAGCGAAAGAAGTTGTTATGCAAAACTTTTTGAAATTAATAATAATAAAAATGCTTGACAAAATAAAAATAGTTACAAATC